ATCTCTCTAATAAAGAAAAAAAAAACTATAAATTAAAACACATTTCCACCGAGTGTTATTGTTCCACTCAACGCCACTGAATTTACTCAAACATTTACTGCGGTAAAGCCGTACACTTAAGAATTTGAACGACCTGATGAACATTCCATCAGGTGAACGGATTGTCACCTGAAACCGGAGATGAACGTATTTATTCCTGGATTCCGGCTCGTGAGGCTAGATCGAACAAGCTCTGGAGGTGGTGAAGTGGCCATTGCTACCAGGAACAACATCTGCTGCCGGATGCTACCGAATTTCCAGCTAAAAATGGTTGAAGCATTGGGAGTGGAAGTCTTCACACCCGTCGGCCCCGTCACCATCATTGCGACCTACTGTCCGAAACAAGCAAACGCCAGGGATGGATCCGCGGCAGACCTGCGGGGGGATATTATCAAGAAAACACAACGCCGTAGAAAATTCATCATCGCTGGCGACCTGAACGCCAAACATCAAGCTTGGGGCAACCAAAGGCGTAATTAAAACGGCACCATCTTGAACGACGACCTGCAAGAGGCTCACTATACCATCCTGGCGCCGGACACTCCCACCCGGCTGAGTCGGTCTGGCGTGCACTCCATCATTGACATCTTCGTCAGCAACATGGGAAACAACATCTCGCAACCTGTGACCCACCAGGAGCTGAGTTCGGACCACTATCCGGTGGTGGCCGAAGTGGGCTCATCCGTCAACCGATTCCAAGCTTCCCGACGCAACTATCATCGTGCAAGCAGTTCCAACACTGTGTCGACTCCACTGTCGACTACGGTGTCCTTCCGGAGACGCCCGAAGACGTAGAACGGTGTCTGCATTCCATCGTGAAGGCGATATCCCGGGCCAGGGAACAGCACGTGCCAGTATCCAGACAGATGAACAATACTCTAAGCCTTGACAGATCTACCAAAGACCTTATTAGACTCCCTAACACCATCCGAAGGCAGTACCAACGCTCTGGTCTGCCTGTCCTTAAAACCCACTGTAATCGTCTAACAAAAACCATCCAAGCCAGGATGGTGGACCTCAGAAAGCAGGACTTTGCCAACAGGATCCGCTCTCTCCCACATTGTGCAAAGCCCTTTTGGAAACTAACCAAAATTCTTAAAAATTATCCAAGACCCATTCCATCACTGACCCCACTGGATCGTTACGCCGACCCAGTGGTTTATCTGACAACTCCTGAAGAGAAGGCAGCCACGATAGGTCAACACTTCGTCAGCTCCCATAATATTGGACAAAACATCATCAGCCCTCACGAAGCTGAGGTTGCTGAAAACGCAACCAACCTCCATCAGATTGCCAATATTTTTTCCCAGGAAACCGAGATTACAGCTGACGAACTGTTGGCCTATATAAAATCATCTCAAACATGAAGGCCTCAGGTTTCGACAACATCCTGAATATAGAACTGAAACACTTGAGTTCCAGATTCTACAACCATCTGGCACTGATTATTAATCTGTGCCTCCGACTTGGCTACTTCCCCTCGTGCTGGAAGTCAGCTAAAGTTATACCCATCCGGAAACCTGTGAAAGATCCGTCCTCTCCTTCAAGTTATCGACCAATCAGTCTTCTCTCAGGGTTATCAAAACTGTTCGAAAAAGCAGTCTACCACCGGCTCCTAACATCTGCCGAAAAAAAAAACAACTTGTTACTCGAGGAACAGTTTGGTTTTCGGAAAGGTCGTTCAACCGTCCACCAGCTGACTCGAGCAACAAACATTCTCAGACGGAACAAGTTTGTTTCGAAAACATCTGCCATGACGTTATTGGACGTTGAAAAAGCGTTCTACAATGTTTGGCATGATGGCCTGGTGTTCAAATTGCAGCAGTACGGTCTCCCAATCTTCCTAGTGAAGACAATTAATAATTATCTATCGATCAGGACGTTCCGAGTCTCTCTGAATGGCATCACATCAGATGCTTTCAACATCGGTGCTAGGGTTCCACAAGGAAGCATCATTGGCCCCATTCTATTCAACCTGTTCACCTCCGATATGCCGGGTCTTCCTGATGATGGATCGTTGTCTCTGTTCGCAGATGACACATCCATCGTCTACAAGGGTAGGGTCATCGAAGCTCTGACTGCCAAGCTTCAGAGAGGGCTAGACGTCCTGTCTGAATATTTCAACAGCTGGATGATCCGTATCAACGCGGCAAAGACCCAGGTCATCATCTTTCCACACTCTAAATCTCCCAGACTTGTTCCGTCGGTGAATAATAAGATCTGCTTGAGCGGCACAGTGGTGGAATGGTCGAAAGAGGTAGTCAACCTCGGCTTAACACTAGACAGCATGCTGATTTTCAGGAAGCACGTTGACAAAACCAAAACCAAGTGTAACATCTTCATAAGATCACTGTAGCAACTCATCAACAGGAGGTCTACTCTATCCCTGAAAAATAAGTTTGCTGTCGACAAACAAATCATCCTTCCCGTAATAATACGGGATGCAAATCTGGGAGAGTGGCGTCAAATCACCTTAAACTCCAAAGGATCCAGAACAAGATCCTTAGGATGATCCTAAACAGTCCCCAGCGGACTAGAAATTCTGAGATCCACCGCTTGGCTGGAATTCAAACGTTAGAAGAACGGAGAGTATTCATAAGACTGATACAAATTTTGACATTTTCGCTCCACAGTGCTCAAACAGTTCCAAATCGGGTCCTTATTAGCCTCCCAAAATTTGAACTCATTCGATAAGAAACTGAGTTGGCACAAACCATTTGAAGTTTATATGGAAATTAATATGGGAAAACCAAATGTTTTGTGCATATCCATCTAACAATTTACCATATCGCTCTGCTTTGAAAAATGATAACTGAGCTCGTAGCAAATTTTCTCAGCTACAACTTTGTCCAAAACCACTTCTCAATATAATGTAAGCATCAAAAGTTATCAATAATTCAAACCACTAATGTCTCATGATTATGCTCAATCAACTGTTCAGCAGGCAACATTGGTGTTTCTGACGCTTAGAATAGAACACAAAAATCATGGCTACTATGTCACACTGCAAGATACAGTGTTGCTCACAAAACAGCTGCTTGATCATGCCATAAGATTATCAATCTCTTAAACAATTAATAACTATTTTATTTGACGTTTGGCTCAACAACTATATTCTGCTAAGTTGTAGCTGAGAAAATTTTCCATCAGTATAGCTTTTGAATTTTTGAACAGTGCAATATGGAAAAAGGCAAGAAGACAATGAACAAAAAGTTTGGATTTCCCATAGTAATTTCCATATAAACTTCAAATGGTTTGTGCCAAGTCAGTTTCTTATCAACGGAGTTCAGATGTTGGGAGACTAATAAGGACCCGATTAGGAACTTTTTGAGCACTGTGGAGCGAAAATGTCAAAATTTGCATCAGTCTAGTATTCATCCTGGAAAGGTTCAGAGACACCTGTCTGAGATCGAATTATCAGATCATACGTGATCTAGCACGTTAGGTTAAGTTATACTCGCAGTTAGGTAGGTTTTCACTTTTTTTCACTTCAAACAAAACACATCCCCAAAGGGGTATTCTGTAAACTAGTTGAAAAACGCAAATATTAAATTAGAATATCAAATTAAACAAAGATAAAGAGCCAGGTAGGCTAATCAATTAAAATCTTAAATCAATGTACTATCATAATCAACAGAAATAAACATCATTTTACTACTACCACTACGGATTTGTTAGGTGTACGGATTGTGGTTAACGGTCATTTAGTGATAATAGTGCTGATAGGTTTGCTTGGAAATTGTTGAGAACGAGAGATGATGTTAGAAAGTCAACAAATACAGTTGTTGCGATGCCAAACTTTCCATCAATTACTTTTACCGAACGTTCAAATTTTGATAGACTGTAGTTTTGGTCAATTGCTACTCCTCATCGCCATTCGAATGTGATTAATGTGATAAGAACAGCTCACATGTAGGGAACTAAATTAAGCCACTGGCGTTGGAGGGAGGTAAATCTCACGATTGCTGTGTCAATATTTGTTTTCTTTACATGAGAACCAGAGCTGGAGGACAACTATAGCGTAATTTACAGTCATGTACACACTTAATTCAGACTACCGATGCAGGTAGGGATTTACTGGGTTTTGAACAGCAGTACAAGTCGCTAAAATTCTCAAATGACCGTTACACGTGGGAAATCAGTACAAGTTCAGAATAAGTTTGTAAATTATTTCATTTTTAACTGATTTTTAAACTTTCACCTAAAAGTTATGTACTTCAAAATGTATGAATGGCAGCGGCCTGGTGTACGTTTTAAGTGATTCAAGTTTGGCTTTTGACTCTACTTTCCTAGTCCAGTTGATTTAAACAAAACAAATTGACTTCTTTGTTCAAAATATAGTAGACGTGGAAAATTCAACTCAAATAATAGCTCTGTTCAAAAGAATTAACAACAAGTTTAGAGCAGGAATTAGCTGATTTCTCGCGAATCAAAACATGCTCACACAAACCACATGGTGTACTGGAAATAAAGGTCTTCTCCCATGCCTTTGATTTACAGTAGCAATTGCGTCCTGTTGACAAATCTGGGAAAATTGTTACTGTAAAGTATATTGCTGGTACGCACATAATACATTACTAATATACATCATTTGAGTGCTTCTACAGAGTTCTTATCCGATTAATAAATTCTTATTCAATGCTGATTAATGTTGACGCCATTGTGTTCTCATCAACAACTGCTTTAACCAAAACCTGCATTCGCTGCCAAGAACCACCCTATCAATGCCGGCAATGGCCGGCTAGAGCACAGCACACCGCCGAGCCGGCTCGCTTCTGTTGGACTGTTGGCTATTTATTTGTTATTGTAGGTGTCCGCTCATCGCGTGTTGAGTTGTCTTGTCGCATACGATTTGCCTCTCGTCGTCGTCGTCGTTGGTTGATTGGAGTAACTCAGCTAGCTCAGCGCAGACAATCAGCCAACTCGGCGGCATCCGCCGTCGTCGTCTCTAGAGCCTCTAGAGCACAGTTTGTGTTCTCTATTATTTCGTGGTATATTAACGCTCGCTATCAAACGGACAGAACTCAGTGTCTACTAACGCTCCCTTCCAGTTGCACACAACAAAGCTCTCTCGAGACGCTGTCCAGCTAGTGTTCTATAGGATCCTTGTGCACGCGCGCGGATTTTTTGGCAGGTCCAAATTTGCAAATCCGGAGGCTTTGTTACCGCTGATTGAATCTACGTGCGCGTGATTTTCGTATTATTTCCCTTTGAAAGTGACACCGCCGCCGCCGAGGTTGCTAGCGATCCATTTCTATGCGACAAGGGCAGAGTGATAAGCGCAAACTATAGAGTGATTAATTTTTATCACTTACCGTGCTCTTGGAAAGCTTTTATGACACACGATTAGTGGTTTTTGTGTGGGAATGATCGCTGCCTTTTCTGCCAGTGAGGTGCCAATAAAAAATTGGAATATTGTCTGTGATTGTGCTTGGACTACCTTCGATCGATAAGTGATTCTATCGGTTATTAGTGATTAGCGATAAGTGACCTGCAAGGTACTTCATGAAACGACACTACTTTGTTCAGCAAATGAATAACCAGCAGCGAATGGCTCCCGTGGGAGTTTGTACGATAAGCTCTTCCGTTTCTGCTGCTGCCGCTGAGGATATCTCCAAAGGTGGAGGGACGGCCAACGCTGGGTACGGTGGAACTGGTGATGCTGATCAGAGTCCCCCGGACTACGGGATTGTGAATATCTACCAGAAATCTGGTGGTGATTTGAACAGCTTCGGTGGGAAGGGTAAGAGTTTGTATGAAGGTAGCCACGAAAAGAGTGAAAGTGAAAAGGGTGGCAACAGTGCAGATGAAGACAGCGACATCATCACGGAGTACATAGGACATTATGGGTTGTGGCAGTTCTACTGGACGTTCCTGCTGTGTTTGTTCCAGATTCCGACGACATTCCACATTTTTTGTCTGGTCTTTCAGGTATGAATGAGAATGGCTTTTGTAAAATATTTAAGATGTGTATAGTGTTTAGAATATTTCAGACCAACAGAAGTGTTGAGGTCTATGAAAATAGCAAGCGCTAAAGTTATATAGACCAAATAAAAATCCTCGTTAGAATTGGTTGGTTGGTTGTCTTTACTAAGGAGATTTTCAGCCAGACGCAGCGCGCTGGTTCATCTCCAGCTCGTAAGAATTTTTGTAAATCATTCAAATTTTCGTGTAATACCTGTGTAGAAGCGCCAGCTTCATGAATTTTTTTTTGTTGGGGGAGGCAAGATGTTTTTAGAATTGTTCATTTTACAAATTGGCAAAAATTAGTTAGCTTGACAGAACTGATGAAATCTAGACTGTTTTGGTGATTAAGTGGAGATTAATCAAATTTGGGGATAAAGTTGATGATGAAGCTTAAAAAAAATCAACCATACAAAGTGGGGGTCCTGGTTGGTGATGGTAGCTTTGAACAGTTTCTCTTTACAAAAAAAAAGTAGATTTTTCTGCATAATTTACAATTGTATTTAATTGACGTTCAATAGCACCCAAGATAATCTTTCAAACATACCAATCATAGGGTTGCACAGAGGAGTAACTGGAACAAAACCTGGCCAAAATTATATTCACTGGTTTTGAGCAATTTTCTGCTAATATATATTAAAATATTTAATAATAATAGGTTTTTAAACTTCTGTTAACTTTAACTTTTAAAATCCATCTACTTAGCAGTGCATATCTGGCCTTTCATCATCCATACGAATAAAAAAAGTAATGGATTTTGATAGTAAGATGTTTTTATTCTTCTGCTTAATATAAGGATTATTTAACAAAAAAGAGTAAAGAAATTATCCAAGAATCATTGCCCTTGCCTTTAAATGTGTTCATAATAACGTGAACTTTCATTCGTCCATAGATTATATGATCTGATCGCGCAAGATTCTATAACTTTTTCAAGTCTGAAACAGCACAAAAAAAACATAAAAAATACATTTTTTTCATATTGTTGAAAAAATAAGACATTATTTAAATTTAAAGGTTTTTATCTCATAACTTGTTAGAAAAGAGCCCAAAGTACCCATTTTATTATAACACTTGTCTCTTGATCAAATTGTTTATATCTGGTAGGCGTAATTATTACATGGTTACGTTTTGGAAAACAAGACGCTTCGAATTTATTCAGTTTTTGAACACGTCTCAACATTTGTAAACACAATTTAACGTTTTTATTCCGTTGCCACTTTATGCTGCATTTATTGAAATATATAAAAAAATATAGAAGGATGAAAAAGCAACAAAATCTTGTTTTCTTATTTTAGCCAGGTCTTTGTTCCAGTTACTCCTCTGTGGGTTGGAACGATTCTTGTCCTTAACTTGAAAGTAACATTTTTCTATGAACTAAGTGTAAATGGTATTTTTTGGATTTTGTAAAATGTTTCCAATGTTAGAAATTAATGAATTTCTGTAAAATTACTAGTGACATCAAAAATACCCACATTTATGCTCAACTGCATTTAAAAAATATGTTCCATTAGACTGATGCAAAATTTGAAATGTTCGCTCCACAGTGCACAAACGGCTCCAAATCGGATCACGCTTAGCCTCCCCAAAAATTTAAACTCATTTGGTAAGAAACTGATTTGGAACAAACCATTTGAAGTTTATACAGAAATTACTATGGGAAAAACAAACTTTTTGTTCATTGTCTTCTAGCCGTACATTTGATCGAAAAGTGGTCTTTAACAAAGTTGTAGCTGAGAGTGAACTGGTCAATTTTGAGGTTTTACCATAGTAACTGCTATATAAACTTAAAATGGTTTGTGCCAAGTTAGTTTCTTACTAAATAAGCTTAAATTTTGGGAGGCTATTCAGGACCCAATTTGGAACCGTTTGAGCACTGTGGAGCTAAAATTTTGAAATTTTGCATCAGTCTAATGTTCCATCATATCTGCTGAAAATATATTTTGTACATCGACTTAGGGACCTCAAATTTAATAAAAATATCTCATAGAAAGTCACTCGAAAGCCATTTGAAGGGTTTATCAATATTACCCCATTTGAATATTTTCAAATTTGAGATTGAAAAAAATGTCCAAAAACGAAACAAAAAACTCAATGAAATAAGTAATCTTGTGGAACAATAGCATTATTAGAACCAATTGATTTTAATACCATAAGTTTGTCAATTTTCTTTAATGTAAGAATAAATTTCCATGTTTACGTTTGATGTGATCAATTTGCTCCAGCATTACAGTATTCAATTTAGAGCAGCATTTCTCAATCTATGGGTCACGACCCTCTAGTGGGTCACAGAAACGCAGACAACTTGGTCACGTCTTCAAATGTTCGTGAAATTTGATAATAATTTTGGGATAATCCAAATTGATTTACATTAACAAACTAACGATTTTTTGTTTCGATAGAGTTAAAACTTACTGAATTTCATACTATTTAAAATATATGAAAATTTAAACAAATTTTCATCCAAATTGAAACTTTCTTAACCCGTAAAGTACCAAGACGAACAAACTCGTTCTCAGCAATGCCTCATCCGATTTTCATAAACTTGGATTTTTATTCAAGGGGAATAGTTGAACTCCTGGTTCTTTGGGGATGTAAATATGTCTCTGATTTTTTGTACTTTTTCAACCAGTTAGACCAAATGTTTTAAATTTTCACACGAATCGGTTGTCTGGTGCAGCAAATGATATCAGATAGATGAAATATGATTAGTAAGACTGAATTCAGATATTTCCATAACGTATGGCTACGATATTATCGGCTCCGGGAGTCCCGGAAATCGGTTCTGTAGGACATAGTAATATCTCAGGCAAAAGTATCTTGTGGCTTGTCAAATCATGTCAAATAGGTAGAATCAAGTGAATAAAGATGATTTGAGATGATTTTGGCCAGTTTGGCATCGGTTCCGGAACACGGATCTGTTAATTCCGGCAAACGGTTTGTTGGAATATAATTACATTGAGGTTATGATATCATATTATGCCAAAATGACAAGCTATGATCAATGAAATCAGGTTGTAGTGTATATGGTCACATTGGCATCGGTTCCGGGATTCCGCAATACGATTCGATAAGGAGGGGATCTTGTAATCCGCTTCTTTAGGCCATAGTCATATTTGAGGCAAATGAATCATACTGCATATCAAATCATAGGGTATGGCCATGAACGATTATTTCAGATAATTTCATTGTCATATAGACACATTGGCATCTGTTTCAAGGGTTACAATATCTGGTTCCGTAAATTCTGAACTATGACTAGAAATGATAAGCTACTATATCCCGTGGAACGTGAAATTATGCATGTTCAACCGAGATGAATATTATAATGCAAACAAAGCATAAATCTGAGGACAGTAGCCACCATCCAGGATCTGACCCTGGTGCTCCGGAAGTAATTATAAACTAACAGTCCTACCTGCCCCGTAGCGTGGGTAGCTCACCTTTTCGTGGTACGTTACGTGATGTAAGATCTACCACCGATTCCTAGTCCTGACTACCTAAAATTAGGGTAACAGGATTTTTCAGTAATCAAAGGAACACATCTTAGTCCTTGTTACTTTTTATGCCTTGTTGATAGTGACAACACTCGATTTTGTCTACCGAGGATGATCTTGAAACAAAGAAACAAATGAGTTAGTTAGTCTTCATCTATATGATTCCTAATCTTCTATTCGTTGTTCTGTTTTAAGTGGTTAAGACTAGGGACGTTTTTAAGAAACCTCATTTTATAGACTTGGAATTCTACTCAGCCGGCGCCGGTGGTGTAGTGGTAAGCGTGACTGCTTTCTAAAACCTCAATGGGTCTGGGTTCAATCCCAGCCGAGGTCGGTGGGATTTTTCTGAGGCATAAAAATCTCTGGTCACGTATTCCTTCGGAAGGGAAGTAAAGCCGTTGGTCCCGGCCCATGTGTGTTGAATGGGTGCGATATCCTACGCAGGTGTGGAAGCTGCCTTCCTGCACATTCGATTGCCGCCGTCAATGGATGGCAATCGATGTTCGTCGGTGATTGGCACTAGATTGCGGAACAGAGACCGACGTTAAATAAAGGAAAAAAAAAAGAATTCTACTCAGAACTACCTTGGTATTCAGGTTTCACATAGAACCTGGAATTCCTCAGAAAGTAGATTGCACCTAATGTTTTCCTCACAGCTCATCCCAGAACTCCCTTGGAAATGATCATCAAATTTCACGAGCCTTGAAAATTATGCAAGGTCCTTAATATTGATGTTTTTTTAAATATGTGATCTTAGGAAATACCTAGGATATAGGTTTTTCAACATTTTTTCAATTGTAATTTTTTTAAAGTTCAGAATTTCAATAAAATTGTTCAAATTTAAAATTTGAGAAAAGTATCCTTATTCCACATCTTGACACAAAAAAAAAGCAATTCAAGTCTCTGATTTTTTTAACTTGATGTTATCACTGAATATTAATCCATTCAGGATCTATTAAGTTCAACGAGTGAAAGAAAATATCATGGAAAATTAAATGTTTGCAGAATAACGTGTATTGTGTGAGTAATGATGAAGTTCCCTAAGAATTCCTGGTTTTTCCAGGAAAAATAAAATTCCTTGGGAATTTCTGGTTTTTCAAGTTATTTTTTTCAGCAAGAAGACACCCTGAGTTTCTATAATTGTTTTTTATTCTTCTTCCTAACATGAGATGGAATACTTGTTGGCGATTTGAGCCCAAAATGGAATAGCCTAATTTATCCTTCTATTATTTGCTGCTTATTCTGTTTTTCAAACCAGCATATTTTCTTCGCATGTGTTTTTCTGGAATTTGACGTAATAACGATTCGGCCTAATGGCCATTCGGCCTAGTGAGTATTCAACCTACTGACCTTCGGCCTGGTCTAATAACCCAGCATCCGTCCTGAGCATTCAATATAACCTGTTTGATATATCTCATGATAGGTTCTGGTATTAAAGCAATGAACCATATCCCAGAAACTCCAGAATCATAT